CGAGCGAAAAATCGTCTAAGTGCCGCGATGACGGCTTCGGTCGTGAGATCACTGACTATTTCTATGTGAACGGCTTTAGTTGCGAGACATATAAATATCGGGATGTAAACCTTGATTTTATTTCGATTTCGAAGACGTTTTTCTTTTATATGTATTGGACCGCAATAATCGAGGCCCACGGACGAGAACGGTCGGCTACAGGTAACGCGGTCCCTCGGTAAATCAGCCATGTTGTAATTGAGCATGACTGGTTTAGCGCGACGGCACGTTACGCATTGGTATATTACGCGTTTTACCGCTGTTTTTCCGTTAACCACCCAGAACTGCTCTCTTATTGCAGCGAGAGTGGCCTGGATGCCGGCGTGATAGTGGGCGTGATGCCTATCGCGTATGACGAGTTCCGTGATTTCGTGTTTTCCCGGCAATAATGCAGGATGTCTTGTCGTGTATGGCAAATCGGAGCGCGAAATTCGACCTCCAACTCTGATTATCCCCCCTGAATCCACGAAAGGATTCAGTTTCGCGAACGGACCCTTTGTCGTACCGTTTGACAATAACGAATTGAATTCGGGAGCAAAATTTTCGCGTTGGACCATCTTTATTATAGTATCCATCGCGCTTTCGAGTTCTTCGATCGAGAGTGCGCCAAAGAGTTTTGGTTTCTGTGTGCGCTTGCTGGATAAGTTATGGGCATAACGGCGACAGTAAGCGATGATACGTTTTGTTTTTATCAGCGAGGAGTATTTTTTCAATACATCGCACGCGTTAATCGACGCGACGCAAGCGATTACCGGACGTTGTTCGGGAACTTGTTCGAGGAGTTGAATCGCGTTCGCGGGCCACTGTTCTTCGGAGTGTTCGAGCCACGATGGTCCATTATACCACATTAATTTTGTTTGCAATTCAGCCGGCATGGTATTACGCGAGATTATGTCAGCTGGGTTGTCGAGTTACGGCACGTGCCGCCATTGACTCGCGACGCTTACCGATTGTATTTCGGCAACCCGGTTCGCTACAAATGTTTTTAGCGTGTGCGGAGATGAATTTATCCAACTAAACACTATCGTGGAATCTGACCAAAAATAGACCTTGTTAATTTTAATATGAAGTAACGCGTGTGTTATCGTGGAGTATAAGTTGCTTAGGAGGACAGCTCCGCATAATTCGAGGCGTGGCAATGAAATATTCTTTAGAGGCGCGACACGAGATTTCGAGCACACGAGTCGGACTGTGATCTCGCGCTGTCGATTGATCGATCTCAGGTAGATGCACGATCCGTACGCTTTCTCGCTAGCATCACAAAACCCGTGCAGTTCGACGTGATCATGGTCGCGAACAAGTGTTTCCCGTGGTATTTCGAAGCCTTGGAGGGACGGTAGCTGTTCGCGGTACATTTCCCATGCGGTAGCGATATCCATTGGAACGGATTCGTCCTAATCCACGCGTAATTGCCACAGTCGTTGCATCAGAAGTTTCGCCCATACTATTACTGGTCCTATTAATCCTAACGGAACAAACAATTGCGCGATTTGTGACAGTATTGTCCGTTTGGTTATTCGTGTTAATTTGTTTACTGATTTTAATGTGTATATCAATGCGTCGCGTGATGGATTCCAATGTATTCCGAGAATTGAGGTGGTCTCGGTTGTGTCTAGACGCACAACCGTGGTATCGAGTCGCGGTTCTGATATTTTGATTAAGCGCGAATCATTGGATGCCCATTTTCGGAGTTCTAAATCCCCCTTTTTCGCGAGTTGTACGACTTCGTCGCGAATCGACTCTGCCTCATGGTAGGTACGTGCTCCAGTTAATAAGTCGTCGACGTAAAGATCTGCTTTCATTATGGCTGCTCCCTTCGGAAATAGAGACGCCTCGTCATCGGCTAATTGATGAAGCGAGTGTATCGCCAGAAACGGTGCCGCGGATGTTCCGTATGTCACTGTGTTGAGTGTGTCGGTCTTGATGGGTTTGATTGGATCATCTCGCCACAATATCTTTTGACATTGGCGATCGTCTGGATGAATCCACGTCTGTCGGTACGTTTTGGTGATGTCCGCGGTTAAGACGTATGTGTGCGAGCGAAAGCGAATTATTAACGCGAAAAGATCGTCTTGTATTGTGGGGCCTACCATGAGCGTGTCGTTAACGTGTAACACAACGAGCTGTGCGCGCCGAACCGTCGAAAACAACGCGGAGCTTCGTAGTGAGGCTACTCTCCTTGAATACTGCGTGATGCGGCAGATAATAGCTCTCACGTTTATTGTCGTGTTGTTGTTCGGACATATGACCCAAGACAGCATACTCGTTCATGAAATCAACGTATAGCTGCTTGCGGTCCGTGTTTTTCGCGAGGTTTTTCTCGAGTGAGTAAAATCGTTTGAGAGCGGTTGCGTATGAATCGCCAAGTGCGTGTTCTTCCTTAAAGGGAAGACTAACAATGTATTTTCCGGAATCGGAATCGCGTCGCGTGTGCTGTTTATAATGGTTTTCAGCCGCGGATTCTTCGTCCGAAAACAGTTTCTTCGTGGGAGCTTCCTCGATCTCCCAGAATTTTTTAATTGTTTGATCGAGCGCGTGAGTGGATAAATTGCAGATGGTACCGTGAGGAAATCCGTCGTGCATTCTGCCAATGATTATCCACCCGAATTTTGTCTTTAATAAGGCGCCGGAATTGTTCGCGAGTGAAATTTTACCTGCTGAAATAAATTCGTGGTAAATTTCCGCGCCTATTATTAAATCAATTGGACCTGGTTTATGAAATCGTGGATCCGCGAGTTTGATAGTTTTCGGAATTTCGAGGTTTTTTCTGTTGATGTATCGAGCTGGTAAGATGTGGTTTAGAGAGTCTAACACTAGGCAATCTATGTTTATCGTGAAATCTGTAGCTTCCTCATGCTGTGTATACCCTGTACCGGCACGTTTACTTCTTTTCGATCGAGCTGCAACCCTTGAGCTAAAGGTTTACTCAGAAAGTGAGACTGCGAACCCGGATCGATCAAAGCTCTGCACGAATGTGTACGACCGAATTTGTCGGTGACGTCTACTATCGCGGTTGATAGTAGACCGTTTGCTGCTGTTTGCGCGGATAAGCTAGCTACGTTTGCCTGTGCGGTACTTGTACTGGGCAGCGAATCTTCATGCAGCAACGTGTGATGTTTCGCGTTGCACTTCCTACACGTGCTCGAACGGCAGTCTTTGGCGATGTGATTTGGCCGTAGACAATTTGAGCATAATTTCGCGCCTTTTATAATGTCGCGTCGTTGCTCCGTTGTCGCGTTTTCGAGTTTTTTGCAAGAAGACGTGTAGTGTTCCTCCTTGTATATGTTGCATTGCGGAATCGAGCTTGCGGACGAGAGTCGCGATCGTTCGTGCGCGTCAGAGTCATTCCAACTCGTGCATTCGAAATCCCGTACGGTTTGATTGGTGGCGATGATTTCGAGTAGATACGCGAGTTTTGTCCCGACGGTAAGACTAGGCATCGTTGATCTTGTATAAAGTTGAACAGATCTGATAGCGTTAAGTTGCATTGTGCTTGAGTTTTTTCGCGCCATTTTAATTCGGTCACAGCGTCCATTTTAGTGGATAACAGATACAGTAAAATCGTGTCCGTGGTCAATTCACCACGAGCTTTGAGCGCTATCGTGTGCGATTCCGCGGTGATCAGATATTTTGTAAATTCATCGTAGGATGGCTTAAGACCCTCTCTATTAAATTAAAAGATCCTATCACTATAGAATTATCTGTAGATAGTTGTAATCTGCTCCTATCCAATAAAGTGGCACTAAAAAAAATATGGTGTAACTTTCAATGTGATAAATAATGATACTGCAATAGTAAGTGCAATATCAGAATGTTTAAAAAAGAACAAATACTACTATGATGAAATAAAATTAAAGATAAATGTAGAGAATCTTTTGACTGAATTGCTACAAAGTTTTACAATTTATGGAAGCTATCTGTACGATGCTCGACTCGCGACACGAAAACTGTTTGATCTCGAAGCGCGAGTCGTATCGTTGCGCTGTCGACAAATTAATACCGTAAGGGCGAAATTCTAATAGTTGGTGTGGGAATGGTGAAATAATGTGTCTCTTGGTCGGAATGTTTTTGAATCATTTATTTTGGAGTTGTGTGTTCAAATATATTACCTCTGCGTGTGTGTTGATTGGTTGGAATTCGAAGGTGGTGGAAAGAAGGAATCGAAAAATGCAGATATGTGATTGGATATTAGAAAAACTAGTGGAAGGAGAACGTGAGGGTGAAGGTGGCTTGCAAAGGTTTAAATAATTTGGGGAAAACCCGGAAAGGGGAAAGGGATAGGAAATATGACCAGGATCTATCTTGAACTTCTTGATGGTAGGAAAGGAATCTGTTAGGGACTAGGAAGAAGGCTGGAAAGGACTGTTTATTGGTTTATGGCTCTTTCCTGGCCGGTGGGCTACGCGACCGGACACTACCAAAGTAATAATCTACCATTTACCATTCACAATGCAATTTCAATGGAAGTTTGCCACGGTATGTTCATGAATTAAACACAAAACATGTAAAGTATAAATAGCCAAAGCTTATATTTTTCAATGGAAATTATTAATAATGTAACAATCTCATTTGTTTGTACATGGTAATTCATTGTCATCTAACATAAGAGTATTTTAGGAGCTATAAAATTTGGTGATCCACTGACATTAAAAAATTGTAAATGGCTCTTGAAATTATTAAGCCTGACAAAAATTCCTACTCAAAGTGCTCATGGGAGACCATCCATAGTGCTTTTATTAGAACTAACAGATTTGGAAAAACGGTACAAAAAAATCGTTCAGGTAGCCAACACATATTTTATAAAACAGAAATACTTATTATTTTGTCATGTCCCCGTTCCCGGTAGGGAGAAATAATAGCGACTTAGGTTATTATATTGCAGGGCCATTGACGATCGGCAATCTTTCGGTTCACGCGGTACGTATGCCACGCGTCTAACCGGGATCCGTGGTCTCTATGAACGTAACAGCGTGCAATACTCACGGGGTGGACTGGTTACGGTGTTGATAAAGAATCACTAAGTGTATGTGTATATGTATATGTATATACAAGGTGTCCCGTAACTCCTCGAACATTCGGAAATGGGGGGTAGCTGGGGTGACTCTGAACAACTTTTTCCTTTTCCAAAATCCAGTTTGAAGCTTCGTTTTCGAGTTATTAACGAAAAACACTGGCCAAATACAGCGCGCGTAGAGCCCGCGCTCAGGGGCGGAGAATAGAGGCTCATCCGCGTGATCGAACAAATGCGTACACGTGACTTCTCGGTTTTCGATAGCTGTCAAAAAAATTTGACTTTGCACTGCTGTTTTTATAAGGCTTAGAGAAATGGTTTTTGGCCGTCATTCCGACGTTTGTATAAATTTTTGAAAAAACTGCAATTAGTCGGAATCGCGAAGAAAATAGCGAAGGTCGTTTTTACAACTTTTTTATCTGAGCTCGAAATGAAAATCTAAAAAATACGTTTTGTAGATCTACGTCAATTATACACACGGTGAAAATTTCATCGAAATCGGTTAATGTTTCTATGAGCTACAAACGGTTAAAGATAGTGAAAATCGCAATATCACGACTTTCGGCGTAAAACTGTAATAAATCTGCAGATTCTTACATCTTTCGATGCCTGTTGCTTGTTTCTCCATCAACATATTTCGATGAAATTTTATAATTGACATCGATTTCCAAAACGTACTTTTTTTCTTTTTCATGAATAACAAGTAAGACGTTTAATAATAGTGTTATTAACTGTGTTATCGTTTCTTTATTCCGAGAGGAATAAAGTGTTTTATTACTTATGAAAAACTTACCCATTCGTCCACGAATTAATCTGCTTCGACGGAACTGGGTCAGTTTGTCGATCCTGACCTATCCGAAACATCTGATATTACGATCGTGTCGGTGAACTCACATGATCGTTCTTCGCCAAACGTCGCGCGGTCCGCGGGGAAAGTGTGGAAAAAAACAAAAGACGTCTCGGCGTTCTCAACCAAGTCTGACAAATTAAGTGGGAGAATGATTCGCATCCTCTGCATCTGGCAGGACGCAAATCTTCTTGACTGGCCTCTTGAGTGTTCCATGGGCCGTTCGTACGGAGACCACTCTGGTGACTCCATCGGGTCCAGGGTGCAGATCGATGATGCGCCCTAATCGCCATTGCAGTGGCGGTAGGTTGTCTTCTCTTAGGAGAACCATAGCGCCTATCCGGATCAAATCTGGTGAGTCGGTCCGCCACTTGTGCCGTTGTTGCAGGCCGTGGAGGTATTCCCGCTGCCACCTCTTCCAGAAGTGCTGTATAGTTTTCTGCACCAGCTGATACCTGTTTAATCTGGTCTCGGTTACGTTAGTTAGGTCCGGCTGTGGGAGTGCCATCAACGCATCTCCGATGAGGAAGTGACCGGGCGTGAGGGGGTTCAGGTCGTTAGGATCAGTGGATATGGGGTGCAGAGGACGGGAGTTGAGGCAGGCTTCAACTTGCGTTAGTATCGTGTATAACTCCTCATACGTGAGCCTCTGCTCGCCGACGACCTTCTTCAAGTGGGTTTTTACAGATCGCACCCCCCTCTCCCATAGGCCGCCAAAATGCGGAGCGCTTGGCGGTATTAAGTGCCAAGCGATGCGCTCCTGCGCCAACGTGTCTATAATGCGATCGTGATGCGCACGAGAGTCTAAGAGTAAGCCTAATTCCCTTAATCCACTTCGGGCGCCAATAAAATTTCTACCGTTGTCGGAGTAGATGGTTCGACATCTACCCCTCCGTGCTATGAATCGATGGAGGCATTGTAAGAACGCGTCGGTCGTCATGTCTGTGGCCAATTCGATATGTGTGGCCTTTGTAACGAAACAGACAAAGAGGCATATATAAGTTTTTTCGCTCGCACGAGCACGACCCCTTCCTCGAATTAGAAAGGGGCCCGCGTAGTCCACGCCGCAGGTAGCGAACGCGCGGTCTGGGGTCACGCGATCGGCAGGTAAGTTGCCCATTTTATATTGCGGGCTTGTCGGATTGATCTTAAAGCATCTTACGCACTGACGCAGTACCCCCCTTACGAGCCGTCTTCCCAATGTTATCCAAACTCGATCGTGCAGCGATGCTAGTGTTTGTTGCGGTCCAGCGTGCAGTAAACGGTTATGCTCGTGCCTTACAATCAATCTACTAAGCGCGTCCGAGCCTGGGAGAATTATCGGATGTTTTTTATCCGTTTCTAAGTCCGCGTTCAAGAGATGTCCGCCCACCCTGAGAAGCCCATAGTTATCTATAAATGGGCATAATGAAATTAGCGGGCTGCCCCTTCCTATTGGCCTTTCTGACGCGAGGCATTGCATTTCATCATGAAAATGACATTTTTGGGCGACTCTGATGACAGTTCGCTCTGCCCTTCTCGTCGGCGGATGGGGGATGGTGATCGGAAGGATCACCGCGACTTCCCTGTAGCGATCCCCTGGCCCGCGCGTTATCCACGAATCTAAAGCAGTAAGTTACTATCCGAAGCAATTTTTCATAGGACGAGTAACGAGAGGCTAAATTGAAATCACTCAAGGCCGCGGCGCTAGCCGGGCCTGCGTGAGTCGCGGCCGCCCGTTTTTCTTCGGGTATTTCCACCGAGGTTGTTGGCCTTGAAGCTGGCCAATCGTCGCAATTCTGCGACAACCACTGCGGCCCGTGCCACCACAGGTCGCTGTCTCTCAAGGCAGAAGCAGCGATCCCCCGCGATACAATGTCCGCAGGATTATCGGCAGATCTTACGTGATGCCAGGTTTCAATGTTGGTGAGACTCTGTGTCTCCGAAACGCGATTCGCGACGAACGTTTTCCATCGACTCGGTCCAACAATATTCGCGCGCGAACTCGATCTGTAGCGCTTCCTTCACATTTGAAACAAGTCGCGCTAGTAAAAGAGCACCAGACAGCTCTAATCGCGGCAGTGACAGCGATTTCAACGGCGCTACGCGTGACTTGGCACACAATAATCGCGTCGACCACGCCCCCTCGACCGTTTTTGACCGGAGGTATACCGTGGCCCCAAAGGCTTGTTCCGATGCGTCCGCGAAGCCATGCAATTCTATTTCTCTCGGATTGTTTGGTACCACGCGCCGCGGGATGACCACCAATGGAACCTCCTTCAGTTCAGCACGAAAGTCGTTCCATTGCGTGTGCATCTCCTGGGATAGGGTTTCATCCCATCCCACATCTAATTGCCAGAGACGCTTCATGATGAATTTTGCTCGGATCACGATGGGGTTAATGAGTCCGAGCGGGTCGAATATTTGCGCGATTTCCGACAGAATGGTACGCTTCGTAACCTTGTTCGTCCTATTGTCGCGGAGCGAGTATCGTAGTTTATCTGCTTCAGCGGTCCAACAGATGCCTAACGTCTTCGGATCCCTTCCAGATCCGACAGAATGGTACGCTTCGTAACCTTGTTCGTCCTATTGTCGCGGAGCGAGTATCGTAGTTCATCTGCTTCAGCGGTCCAACAGATGCCTAACGTCTTCGGATCCCTTCCAGTATCCGCGATTTCGAATCTAGCCGGTGTTCCGTTACGATCGCTGCCGAGCGCCCCTATGTGGTTGCTAGCCCATTTTCGCAGTGGCATTCCGGCATTGCCCAAGACCTCGGTTAATGATGCCTTTAATTTTACGGCCCCTTCTAAACTATCGCATCCCGTGAGCAGGTCATCCACATAGAAGTCGTGAATGATCGCACGACTAGCGAGCGGATGAGATTGCATGCAATCTTCTCTGATTTTCTTGAGCATGCGCGTTGCTAGAAACGATGCCGACGCGGTGCCATACGTTATGGTATTCAAATCGTAAACGCTAATGGGGTCATTGACATTTGAACGCCATAGTATCCGCTGAAATCTACGATGTTCCTCTCGCACGCGAATTTGCCGGTACATTTTTTTTATGTCCGCCGACAGGACATACCGATGCTTGCGAAATCTAAGTAAAATAGTGACGAGATCACTCTGTACGGGCATGCCTACTAGCTGCGCGTCATTTAACGAGATCCCCGAGGATGTCTTGGCAGATCCGTCAAATACTACCCGAAGCTTGGTCGTTGTACTGGACTCCTTATAAACCGCGTGGTGGGGCAAATAATAGCCAAGTTGATTTTCTAACGAATTTTCATCAACCTTGGACATATGTCCGAGCGATTCGTATTCACGCATGAAATCTATATACCCTTGATGGAATTCCGGGTTTTTCCTGAATCTCCGTTCCAAGGAAATGAGCCGGCGCTCAGCTTGTTCCCGCGATTCCTCCAGTTCTACGACCTTCTCGTCGAAAGGTATGCTGACGACGTATCGCCCGTCGTCGTTTTAGATTTAACTAGTTACCCAAGATTAGTTTGGCGGGTAATAAGTCGTAACGCGAACAGTCTGAAACGATCAAAGGACGAACGCGACGCGACATTTTATGGTCCTTCGAGCCGGATCCAGTGACTTGTGAGAAACAGACATTTCACAGCAAACATTAAGTGACACAAACGATCGCAGTGCACAGTGAGAGTGAAAAACGTTCGAACTCGCGACGAAACACAATCCACTCGATCCGAAAGAAGATTCTACGTGCATCGCCAGAACAGACCGGCGCCAATCAATAGGTCGATACGATTGGGATGTTCGAATTCCGGATCCAGGCCTACTCTATGCTGTCCGACGCATAGCAATCGCCAGAACAGACCGGCGCCAATCAATAGGTCGATACGGTTGGGATGTTCGAACTCCGGATCGGCCGGAATGACGCCGAAAGGAATTGGAATGCATACCTTGTTCAATGGAACATTTGGCATCATCTCGGTGATCTCCTTCAACACTAAACACGACACCTCCGAACGAAAATTGCTACTTCGCGAACTGATTTGTAAGCGCGCCTGCGATCTAATGGGATTCCTAGCTCCGCCTATCCCCCCCCACGATCATTTCCGCGGCGGTGGTCCGGAGGCCGATTTTCTTGCAGAATCGCTCCGTGACGAAATGGGCTTGCGAACCAACGTCCAATAAAACGCGACACTCATGTTTCTTACCCGCTCTGTCCGTTACCAAAACTATGGCGGTCGATAACACCGCGCATTCGATGTGGGCCCCCCTCGAATCGGACACGCAAGATCGCACCAGGTGAGATGAGGAGGCGCATGGTACGTTCGCGGATTCCTTGTCTACCGGTCTCTCGTCCCGATGCAGCACGGTGTGGTGCTTGCTTCCGCACTTACGACATTTTCCGCGGGTACAATTTTTAACGTTATGTCCCAGCTATAAGCAATTAAAACACACGCCTAATCGTTTTATTGCTTCGTGCTTCTCCGCAAAGGGTAACGTAAGTAGTTTCGAGCAGTGTTGTAGCGCATGCTCAGCCTTGCATAACAAACAGGCAGATGGTTGGTTAGCAAGGTAAGATGCTGCTTCGTACTGTTTGGCGTGATCACCGCGCCTTTGTTTATTCCTAGTGGTCACGCTCGTTGCGCTCGACGCGGCTGATTTTGTTGTTTCCTTACGGGTTAAATATTGTGAACGCTGTTCTAAAAACTTGGCGAATTCGCGCAACGCAGGTCTGTTTGGAGTGTCCATGATACGTTTTTCCCACTCGTCAAGAGACGATGAATCTATTTTTCTGGACAAGTGCGAACTAATTAACGCCTCCCACAGCTCGGAGGGCTTCAGAACGGACTCCAAGGCGCGAACGTGATTTGTAGCGGTGTCTATCAATTGACTAAGAAGTGCACCGTCCGGCTTCCGGACAGCTTCTATGTCTAACAAGGCGTTAATATGATGGTCGACTAATGCCCTTGGATTTTCATAACGCTCTCTTAAACGTGCCCATGCGAGCGCATAGTTCGTCGCTGAGACGCTAAAGGATTCTAACACTCGCGCCGCTGGACCCGTGAGGGAAGAATTTAAATAATTAAAACGATCGATGTCGGTCAATTTATCTGAATCGTGCACTAACGATGTAAAGGTATCCCGGAAGCGTATCCATTGCCCAAGGTCGCCGTTGAACGTGGGCAATTTTATGACCGGAAGACGTGTCGCGTGGGACGAGTCCGTTACCGTTGGCGTTGTGGTGATTGCGGGAGACGCTGTTGAAGATCGCGAACCCCGAGCCTGCGATAACTGTTTTTCGGCGGACGACAGTACGCGGAAGTATGTGTCATCGAAGAACTCGCGCTCTAATAAGTGTGCTGCCTCGTTATCTGTACCGATTACAATTGCCTCTATCTGCGGAGGGGAACCGGGCCCTTCTGACCCGGGGACCTTGGGGACTGACGACCCCACGTATCCGAGTTAGCCGGCCCATGCCGAGGTGTGCAAGCACCTCATGGGTAGTAGGAGAAATCCTGCGAACAGCATGACCAGTATGGCTGGGGCACTGGTACCGCGGGGGTTGACATTATAAGCACACGGGAGGGGGCCTCCCCCTCCCGTCGTCGACCAAGGAGTTGGACTCGCGGGGGCAGTGGTATTGCCTGTATGCAGGCAAGAGGCGCTGGCGTCTCGGCGGGTGAGCTGCGCTAAAACAGCTCGGGAACCGACCTGCAGAGCCGGTAGAGATATAGAAAGGTCTCGCTCATACCAAGAGTGGTGGCCGGAGCTTGCATTCTGGTACCGATTTGGTAGTATTCGCGGAATTTACTCCGTGGGTACGCGCTGATTGAGCGTATCTCAATCCCGCGCCCATGGGGGCCTTATCTGCAAAGCCTTCGGGCAGGTGCGGACACGTAAATAAACTCTCGGGCAATGCCTCTATCTGCGATTGAATCCTATCAAATCTACTGTATAACGGCTCGTGCGCCTTTACGCGTTTTTCAAATGCAACATAGTCGTCTTCTACTACTGTTGTTTCTACGAATTTTTTGAATATTGTTAACTTGGCCTTGGCCGACCCACGCTCCGCTATTAATGTTTTTAGTTGCGGATCCATTTTAGCTACTACGCTAGTTGAAGAGCAAGGAAAGGAAAGACTCACGTGAAAACCAAGGACTGGATCAGCGTTGAGGTATTGCCTCCTTCGGAACGTGCGGTTGGATTCCCCGTGACTGCTCCGGTGTGCTGCTTACTATCCCGTGCAGGGGGGTGCGAGGTCCAGATGGCTGGTGCGCACAGTCTCCTTCCTGGATGATTCTGGCTCAATGCTCCAGAACACAGCTCACCGCCAGTGTTGGGTGATGCCGGGCGTCGAATGCCAGGTTACCTAGCAGGACTCAGAATCGTGGATTGGATGTCCCAATTTCAAACTGCTCTGCAGCGGGTTCGGCTTCCTTCTTCAGGACGTTGTGAATCCGGCTCGAAGGACCAATGTTTATGATGTGCTCGTGTTTCGTTGCAATCAACCCTTTCGAGCCTTGTCGATTTTTACACGTGGAGTGCCAACTAAGTCTAAGGGTTCGTTTTCGAAGGACCACCTCCTTATGACGGAGGACAAACAACTATTACTAATGGTCTAAAACTTCTAGTGACTTGACTCTTGGTGTGGTCAGATGGATTCTAATGTTCCCTTCCGCGAAAGGTCCCACGACACCTCGGTGCGAGGACGCATCGCGGGGGTGAGGCCCTCGGATAGGTTGATGGTGGGGAAGGGTGGTTGGCGAAAACTATTGGTTAAAATCATAGGTGGAAGAAACTACACGAAAATGCCATCCCCCAGACCATAGGTCACTCTCAGGTACCAAGCGTACCCTTGAGTGACGCACGCGGGAATTCCGAGTGCCTCGAACAATGACCGTAGCAGACAATAACGTTAAGACGCGCTTCGGCTCTGGTGACCATAAAAATGCAAAATGCACAAGTGAAAAAAGGGGCGAAGATTCTAAGTAGAAAACGAGACAATAAAAGGTAAAAGCAAATTCTTAGACTGAAAGAGCGCGATTGCCGTGGCGTCATAAAATTACCGCTGCTACGAAACGAGCGAAGGCGAAAAATATATACAATAGAACTACATACTAAGAAATCTAAGGGTCAGGCGGCTGACATACATGTCGAGGATTAAACATTATTAATGTTATCTATAAAATGTCTTAATCCCGTTAATGATTCCTTAGAAATGGACGGCCTTTCATATATTGATCGAACATGATGATACTTTAACGTTTTTAAATCTTCATAACGATCTTTTATCTGATTCCAAGCGAGCGTATAATTTAATTCCGAAATACCTAGAGCTTGAATTGTACGTGCTGCGTTACCCTTTACCGATGAATTTAAGTAATGAAA